AAAGCGAGATTCTTCAGCAAAGAATACATTTCCTTTCCACCCACCGTGAGAAATAGTACGCATTGATCCAGCTTTTCGTTCTGACGTAGGCTGCACCAGGGCTCGAAACGTTTGACCCATTCTTCAATTTCAGACAGATGTGAATGTAGATTCAGGGATTCAATAGTGCGCAACTCCATGCCGCGACGCCAATTGTAGTATTCGGAATAGGAATCGAAATCAAATAGCGCGAACTCGGTATTNCAGGTAGAACCAAAGCGTGCTGTAGATACAGCTAATTCCATTAGGAATATCATGGAAATATATATTACAAGCAACAAACAATCATTGGTCGATTCTTGAATGTCCAATCGACGAGGCTATGGTTTATCTGTTTGCCTTCTTGCACTCATCCAATCCGGATGATGCCAATTGAGACCACAGGGTTGGTCGGTTATCCCGCTTCTTGATTGGTTGCCTGGAAGCTATACCGCGGTGCGTGCGTACTCGTTACACGACCACTACAGATACCGAGCGGGTACTGAGGAGGCCGGTTGAAACAACTGTTGCATGCTGAGTTCATAAAAAAAGAGAAGGGAGATAAGAAAATGGAGATAATGAAATTAGAAAAGTATTGTGTACAAAAGCTTTCGCAAACCGTCACACCTTCATGGGTGACGCCGGATTGGTTTGCATTCTGCATTTAGCGTTCAGTTTTTGCTGAGGTCGTTGTTGTCAGTCTTCGGAACACAGCATGCTCCAGTGTGTCACCCAAGACTATTTCGTCGTCATCATTGTCGACCACTCTACTCACTAAAAGTGATTTCAGCTTTTTTATCGAACTGTTTGCTGAAGCTACTGGTAGACCATCGGTTCTTTTCTTGACTCTCGTAGACGGAAGAAATTAAAAATTGTAATGCACGGTACCTAAACTATTCAAAGAGACGCCCAGCTCTTGAAGGACATCCTCCGTTTGAGTTAACTTAGATGTCCTACCCATGACGTTTCTTGTTGCCACTATTATCACTGTGGAGTTCTGATCTGAACGCCTTTCGCCGCGGTTTATAATCCACCTATCTGGAATAAGGCTTTGAATATCCCAATTAATTAGATCGAATACCCTGGCTATATGCAAGCAGGGCAACAACCTTTGCGCATAGAAATAACACTCGCACTTCTTTTTCCCGGCAGTAACTACTTTATGATCCTCACCCTTCCATTTCATTTCGTTGTCTAGCTGAATAATTTTTACATGAAAACTTATCCAAAAATAAGTCGTGGTGTCTTTATGCTTGTGCGAGTGCGCGAGCGCCCACGTGTGTGCATGTGTACGTGGGTGACGTAAACACTGCTCTTCGTCTGAGAGATAAGCACCGGCGAGTGGGACGAAGAATCGATCGAGGGCATAATTGACGTTGACACATGTCACGGAATACAAGAAACTACACCAGGTCAATCAAATGTTATCCCTCAGGATCACACCGTTGGAAAAAAAACAGTTCCATCAACCCAACCGCGCATGGTTCAGTTCATCAGCCAAATCAACGCGCTTGACATTTCAATCGAAACAAGACAAATCCTAAAGAGAAGCGGAAAAACAGAGGAAACCCCAAGCCCACGAAGGACAGCCGCAAAGTAAATCGGCAACCCATGGGATTTGAATCGGGCGTCCCACCCGATGGTTTCAAGACAGCTTTCTCGTGACTAGAAAAACAAGAAATCAGAATTGAGAACTTGGCTCACCACATAGAGAAGCGGCTCACAGAAATGAGGAGGCTCTGGATTTCATGTTGAACTTTTGAAAATCCTTACTTATGGTGACATAACTCTATTTGTGTGTTGCTTCTCCATTGACATTTATCAATCACAAACACCATTCATTATTATTTATCTGTTAATTCGATACCCGACACATTTGAATTTGGCGTGGTCAGAGAACGTGAGCGACCGTGTGGCTCTATCTGGACATCATATTTGGCTCGTTTGCTTGAGTGCTTTTGGCATCATATTTCAGGTATCAAAATCCTCGAAGACGTTCAGCGACTAGCAACCCGAATGGTCTATGGTTAAAAAGGACTCAACCACTGTGAAAGACCAAAGTCCCTGAATCTGTTCTCTCCAGAACGCCGAATGATGAGGGAGGACCTCATTGAATTGTACAATGCCACCAGGAACATGGAGCAGCCACCATTGGACACTTGTTCACTTTGCGGGTCAACAACGTCCTCCGAGTGCACTGTTACGTGCTTGAGAGAACAAGAAGCAGGTTAGCAATTAGGTATACTTTGCAAATGGAGTAGTCCCTGAATGGAACAAACTACCAAATCAAATGACCGAATGCCCTAAAATGAAGAATTTCAAACTAATGCTGGGCAAAGAATGATATCCATTATTATTATTATTATTATTATTATTATTATTATTATCTATTCAGATCTGCACTAGGCAACAAGATATTTTTAGTTTACTGATGAAATGCATGTAACAGACGCTGCGTCGACTCCCTTTGCATTCAAGCCTCCAGATATTGTGGAGAGTCGAAAGAAGTATTACACTTGCAGGCGAGTCGGTTCACAAACCAAACCCATCATTAAAAGGACACCCAACAGGCGAAGGCCTCTCTATGCAATGTTATTTGAGTTTAAATTTGAAAAATGATTTCAGAAATGGTTTCGCTGTGTTGCACGGACGGTATCTGTAGTAGTTGAAGGCTCGCGGTGTCAGAGACCCACTGTATTTCATGCTGAATTTTTGAAAATCCTTCCGAATCCATGATGATTTATGGTGAAATAACTTTATTCGTGTGTTGCTCTCATATTGACATTTCTCGATCACGAACACCACACATCATTATTTATCTGTTAATTTAGATGCCCGGCACATTTGAATTTTGCGTGGTTTGAGAACGGGAGCGACTGTTTGCCTCTCTCTATCTGTTAATTCAATGCCCGGCACATTTGAATTTTGCGTGGTTTGAGAACGTGAGCGACTGTTTGCCTCTCTCTTGACATCTTGGCGTGGTTTGAGAACGTGAGCGACTGTTTGCCTCTCTCTGGACATCTTATTTGGCTCGCTCTGCTTGGTGTTCTCGGCCGCATATTTGATGTTTGCTTTATTGTACATTTGTAATGATTTCGTTAATTCAGCTCGGCCGCATATTTGAGGTTTGCTTTATTGTCCACATTGTAATAATTTCGTTAATTCAGTACCTGGCCGCATATTTGAGGTTTGCTTTATTGTACATATTGTAATAATTTCGTTAGTTCAGTACCGTTTCTGTAATAGATTCCGTTGATTCAGTACCGTAGAACATCTTTATTGTACATTCTGTAATATTTTCGTTCACTCAGTAGCGTAGAACATTGCGGATCAATTGTGTTTTTAATTCGGGATTCGTATCGGTTTCGGCTTCGCATCACTCAAGTACGAATTGGTTGACGTACAGTGCTCAAATCGGAATCAAACGATAAAATTATTTCGAAGATGCTCAGACGAGGAACCAAGAAAACTGGAACCCAACAGGAAGTAACCCGGCAAGTCACTGGGGGATGTGGGTCGTTTTGATTCTTTAGAAAGTGTTAGATCTGTTAGTCCTCTCAGCGCTGTTTCATGTGTAGATTCAGATATTAAGGATATTGATATATTTAGATTNGTCGGTATTTTGTCGCCAGTGGGATGCGACCCGGAAACACTCCGCGTGCCTCATTTTTCACCTTCAGGTGATATCCCTATGGAATGCCCTTCCAGACGTGATAGTCAGCGCACCCATCAAGGGTGTTTGCAAACATCGTCTTGACCGTCACTTAGGTTTAACTACCTACCGAATAGAGAATACGGAAACAGGCTTTCGGCTTCTAACCCAGTCAGTCCCTTCATTATTTTGAAGGTTTCAATCATGTCGCCTCTCAGGCGTCTCCTCTCCATGGAGAAAAGCCCTAATAATTCTAACCTCTCCTCAGATGACTTACCCCTCATTCCCGCGATCATTTTAGTATCTAAACGTTGCACCTTCTCAAGGAAATTTATATCTTTCTTCAATTAGGGAGACCAAGCCTGCACGCAGTATTCCAACTGCGGCCTAAATATGGCCTTATATGGAGGTAGGAAAACCTCAGCTTTCCTTGACGAAAGGGCCGCATTGAGCTGGAACGATTGCCCCCTCGCTTTTTGTGCGGCGGGCAGGCTTAAAGTCCTCGCGGGCCAAATTTCCCAGATCCAGCATTCGGTTTACTCGAGCGAAGACCGTCGGTTTTGTGGTCGTAGCTGAACGAACCGGAAGCCCTACGGTATTTAGAACATGACACTTGGTAGCGTTTAGCTCCCAGCCCCACTTCTTTGTCCACCAGACAATCTTAGTCAGATCAGCTTCCAGTTGATCTACCGGCACGGAGTTCACTAGCTTGACGTTGTCGGCAAGGATGAAGGCAGGAACTGCTAGCTCATGGACCAAGTCATTTATAAACAGCAGGAAGAACATCGGGCCTAGCACTGAGCCCTGAGGCACTCCACTGGATACGCTGCCGACGTTTGACAGAGCTTCTACCACTCGAACTCTATAGGTCCGGTTTGTGAGGAAATCTTCTATTCATCTAACTAGAGCTATTGGGAGACCAAAACACCTGAGCTTCATTAGTAGGAATTAGTAGAATTTGGGTTAACGCTCCAAGAAATCACAAAGTTTGTGGGGGTATAGCCTGGTCGTTCACGGAGCCTGATCACCCGGTATCCGCAAACATAGTATCAAAAAACGTAATAGCTCCTCGGACCCTACGTCCGAGGATNTTGTCAATGAAGATGATGGACCGCTGGACAGTGGCTAAAAGGACAGGGTCTTGCTTTGTGTGCTTGAGCGATATCCACAGAGTAGCCCTTTGGAGAAACCGAACCAACTGTGATCAAGACAATTGCAGGGTTCGCCATCACCCCTTACTACACCACGATGGAGGAGTCGAGCAACGAACGAATAGCGGCCGGGTTAATAGAGCCGACGAACACGCTGTGGGGGATACACCTAAATCTGTCTGCACTATCGGACGGGTGCCAAGTGGGCCGGTCCGCTTGGGAATAATAC